TTTCTGCCGGATGATAGGGCTTGCCGTTCCTGTACACGTAGAGAATCAGCATAAGCACAAATGTTAGGGATTGTGACTAGTGAAGAAAAGTCATGTTGCTTATGAAAGAGGGTACCATGTTCTCGAAAGCCACTTCGGTGGTTGGGATAAACAGCGTTTTTAGGATCATGTACTTAATACTTTTTCTGGTGCAAAGTCACGGTTATTACATAGGCTACGATGAAAAACAGTTACCAGCGCTTTAGTGAACGCGTTGATAAAGTAGTGTTCGCAATCGAAACATGTTGGTGGAGACTGGAAGTCCTTTCATTTACGGCAGTCAGTCAAGGTAGTTTCTGTACCGTACTGGCCTTTTTTAGTTAGCCGTTTGAATCGAAATTGAGCAGGAGGCTACAATAGTGTGGTCACATTCTGGGAATCCATGGCCAATATATACCACAGAGTGAGATTGTTAGCGAAAACTAGGTCTAAAACATAATGGAGTGTAGTTAGACTTTGACTATAGTGAAATTACCCATCAGACGCAAGAGTGGAGGAAAGATTCATATTGCTTAGGAGCTTTATTCGGCGACCACGAGATTTCTTACATATTAGTCCTCGCAGGTAATCTTACCTGAAAATAATATGGATGCTATGAACCTAAAGGCTTCTGACAACGAATTGTCATAGTCAGACATGGAATTAGAAGGACGATACACGCAGCCGAAAAGGCGCGAACGGGCAGCTTACTAGTTTCAAAATAACCCAAACAGCATCTCTTATAATTCTTAAGTTCGGGATATCACACTGCGTTGAATGTATAGATGAATTAACATGTATAAGACAACCTCCACCACCGCTGTCTATTCTATCACTACGAAATGATACGTAGCTGTCAATTCAAATGCTCAAACCAGAAATATCTGAAGTGTTCCACGCCTCAGTTATCTTAAGGGGGAAGCATAATAACGCAGGTTAGGTCAAACTAGGTATCTTGTTCCATATTAGATCTGTTTATTTGATATAAAGTGCACAGTGATACAGTATTATTTACTTGATTACGTTTCGAGCATAAATTATTGCTCATAATCATATCAATGATATGATATGATTATGAGCAATAATTTATGCTCGAAACGTAATCAAGTAAATAATACTGTATCACTGTGCACTTTATATTAAATAAACAAATCTAATATGGAATTACATTCTACCACAGTGCCCAAGTTTTACACTTATAGGTATCTTGTTGCAGATTGAGCGAACATTTATCAGACAAAGAAAATGAACGCGATAACAGCTGAAAGTAAGTGAAGATATCATGAAAGAACAACTTATTAGTGTCCTTAGAAAGCATAGAGTGTTGGTTACAGATAAGTTCCGTGGTATAGGATTAACCATTTGTGCTAACGTTAAGAGAAAGAGCTATGGACAGTTAGATAATGAATCGGTAGGGTTAGGCATATTGATCGATTCAACATCAGCCTTTAGTACTTCATATGGATGAGAAGAGACTGAGTTACTAAGATGGCTCATGATCGCGTGGCACTGTGTTAACACACTTCCACTACAGTCATGGTGCAAGATCCTTTTAGTTCTACTATCAGTGCATGGGGTAAGTGATAGCCTCAGGGCCCATGACGCCGTTCGGTTTCAGGTGACTGAAAACAATTTGAATCACCTGACTTGCTGAAGGTGCTGTTAACTCTTGAAGTCGCAAAAATCCTGTTGTAGGGTTTGGAAGATTTTAATGAGTCCAGGGATGTGTCGCATAGTCAAAGCGGTGAAATTTAGAGTCACATTAGGCATAGGGGCCACGTTGACCTGCTATAAAGGGGTTCAGAGCTGGCATTTGACGATGACTCGGCTCACCAATAAAACAATGGGTTTTTCATCCAAACGGCTTCAAATTTTGTGTTACTGGGAGCGATGATGCTGCTTTAGAAAACACTATGATTATCATTGGCAGATTCAGACAGCAGTTAAGACTGGAGAATCATTGTTACTCCTAATACAGGATGTTGAGTGAAATGGCTTAATCTGGCTATTCTTAGCTTGAAACTGCCTATTATCTTTAGGATGGGGTTTGCTGCACATGGAAGTGGCTTTACTGTCAGCCGGTGGCTGGAGGTAATTTGGTCAGAGTTATGAGAAATTCAGTCAGTTAATAACGGTGGTGGTTTATGTTTACAAATTAATTTGTTTGGTGAAGTCTGTGCAGACATCGCATTAGGGATATGGTGATCTACTTGCAGTTAGAATATCGGTTGTTCCAGGCTTAGCAACCCCATGACACAGAAAATTCTAGTTAACCTCCTATTTTAACATCGGGTTGCGTGGGAGATAAGTCATTAGTTTGCAAAGTGGAAGCGTTTGTAGGAAAGCTCAAAGGCTCGGTATTTCTTGCATGAGTCTCAGTGAAGAGACAGTTATGGATTGGGCTTTCTGTGAATGCAGGTGGATTATTAAATCTTAACTTCATAGTGACTTTAAGTCAGTATCAGGATATTATCTTGGAGAGATAACATCCATAGTTGACAAATCAAAATTAACTGAGCCTATTGTCATGTCTGTTTATCCGTAGGGGATGCTGAACAGTAAGGGTCGTGGATAGACCAACCAAACTTGTTTGTTTATTAGTGGAATCAGTAGCAAACGCATTCCCGCGCTATTACGTGGAAGTTCTGATTGAAATTTGTGTGTGACGCTATCATGGCGTCAAGTCCTCAGTAACCCTAGCACTTCTATAGGAAGTATGCGCTGTAATAGTTCTACCAGACTTTAGGAAGGGCTTGGCATATTTCATGTAATTAAACTTGAGAAGAAGTAGGCAAATAGTATCACTTGACATCTTTCTTAGTCTGACATGACATTCGGCTAATGAAATATCGCATGCCTGTGCCTATATGTCTTTAAAATGATGTGCTAGTACATTGTTAGAAGACAAAACTTTTCTGGTAACTTCTTCTGCAACGAACTGGACTAAACGTTCATACTTACGTAAGTTCTCAGACCCAGTATAAGAATTTTTACCCTACACACAAGCTAATAGAGCATGTTTAGCTAGATTGGTATCAATATGTCACAGCACTCTGTATCAGTTTGCAACTCTGACATTAAATGGAGCATAACCACCTCAGGCGTACATTTTGAAAGTGATCTAGAACCAATCAACGATTCATGTCTCTTAGCTAGCAAGAGTTCAGCAAAAATTTGATAACTGCGCACACAAGTATGTTAGATTTTACCATCATGGTAACTATTTAAATCAAAAATTTGGAACAATAATGGCAAGATAAATTTTGTCCTACTGTCTAACGTTTGCGAACGAAAGATGAGCTACACACAAGTTGACAAAGTTTATCGATACAAGTGCAAAAATATTTTCTCGACTCATTCTTGGTTGTATTGTGTTCTCTGAACAACCCGGACCAGAGAACACAATACAACCAAGACCATCCACCTGAGCTATAAATATTCTCCACCATTTCTCGACTCTTTGAGTTCAGTAGAAGTCCTTCAACTGAGAAGTTACAAAAATTGTTGTTACAAGGTATAAGTTTCTTTTAAGATATAATATTGTTCTATAGCAACAGCTAAGAGCACATCACCAGGTTATACGCTTATGAGTCAAAAGATGATTTCTGACAGTTGATGAAGCTGTGTAGAAGCCAGCCTGTTACACAATTATCGTACGACACACAAAATAGCTTGACCACACGACAACAGACAGTCGTGGCGACCGAACATAGAGTTTGGGTGACACAACACAGCCAGCAGATTACAACCCATCTGGCAAAATGTCAGCACGTCTACCACAACACGTATGCCTTTAATAATGATAATTCACTCTTTAAAATTTAAAATCTTCGACGCATAACAAAATCTCATAGTGAATCATCGGAATGATGAATAGAGAACTGAGGATTGAAGCTGGTGGTTTTACGAAGTTAGTCAGTGATTTGACTGAGCATTGCATGCTGGATAATCTTTAATTTGCTACAGCAACTTCGAACAAGACTTGCAAGAGTTTCCATGACATGTTGAAGACTTATTTCTTAGTGACTAGACTGTGACTGTCTAGCCCCCATTCGCAGTAATCTTTTCATGTACGGCTGTCATATCTCGCATTATCAGGCATGAGTGACTCGTTGGAAGACATGAGGAGAGTGAAGGTGGCAGCGATACTCAACAGCACCACGTTATCAGGAACACCATCCGTCTGACCCATCTCAACGGCCTTCATAATTGTGTATTTTTCTGATCGTCAGGGATATCAGATTCATATCCGCTGTGCGCTTTCCTAAGTCTTGTATCGAATGTCTTCTCTTCGGTTATTAACGTTCATTTGAATGACCTTCGCGAGATGACGACATGTAGGAGAATGTCTTCTTGCTTACTGCACAGTTTCCAGTGCCTTGTATACCAAGGTTTCCTAAATTTGATGTTCTGTGCCAGTATCACTATCTGTACGTGCATTGTGTTACCACGCATCACAATGCGTATCATCCTGTGCAGAAAACTCATATTTCTCTCAATATTCTCTTTGCTGACAAGTATCACTGGCAATGTGATCCGCACAATGGAACAAAAGTTTCAAAACGTAACAAAGACAACTGAAAAATTCATAAGGCAAGTATCACCTTTCAGCTGGAGCAGAATGAGGAAATCTTCGGAAAAAGTGATGTTGGCCTGATGCGGAAATTTTGGGAACGTATAGCAATTACTACCCATTACTTTCGAATTCCTCTTGTAACCTCAAAATTTCCCTAGTGTTTGTGTCATTCCGCAGTGTTCGCCATGAATTTCCACCAAATTACTGATATTTACAGAATTTCTTTAGGATTATTTACATTAACCTATACTTTTAGCTTAGCTTGGTTTACATTCCCCAAATTTTCCGTAATAACAATCCCCTACTACCACTTACCTGGTGCACAGAGAATAAAAACTGATGTTCGGCGTAAAATAGAAACCTAAGTACACACCATGCTTCCTGCAAAGAAGGATTTGTGAGTTTTATGTGAAGAATATATATTTATTGAATATGAACAATGCAGATACACACTAATTATCCATCAAACGCTTGTGCGATGACGTTCACAAACATAACTACATTGAAACACAACCTAGCACGAATGATAATACGGAAACAAATGATATCAACAAGCAGAAGGGAAAAGATATATGAATTACGTAGACAGTGGTTAGGGATAAAAAACAAGTGAAACTACGTTCAGAAAGAATACGGCACAGCACTACACGAATGTGAAACTCTTTCAAAAAATACTATTAGTGAAGGATTCAGATTGCATGAAAAATGATTCCTTTAGTACCAAAGGCGATTACCACCAACATTTATTATAAACGCGTCTACTAAACGAGAACTTTCTGGCGTGATTATTGATAATTAGTAAATAAAATAATCAAAATTTCACTAAGAGCACATCCAAAACTAAGACAAACAGTCAGTGACATGCTAACCGAAAACAACATTTATGGCTGACTGACAAAATAAACGTAGAACCTCGAACACCTATGCATCACAGTAAAGGTTACCACACTTCACCGTGGGAGTATACGAAGAACAAATGAGTAGAAAATGAGTGATATCAAAGAAGACAAAACTGCGTAAGAGAACAAACAATCTGAAGATCAAGGTCAGGGTGAACGGTCAATCTTTAGAAGACGTCAAAGAATTAATATATCTGCGCCACTGTGATCGATTTCCAGCCGTCACCAAGAATCTTCAATCACTGATTCTTTTCGTCTCGGGGACCCCAACCAGACAGTCTACATCTACCCACACGGTCCAGACCAACAGTAAAAGACTTCATCGACTGGTACCACGTCCTAGTCTGGCCACCCTGAACCCCTTTCCAATCTAATCCAAATTACCCTAGCATGCCATGTCAAGATAGGCAATGGCTCGGCGTGTGCAGTACATGTCCAAGTCATCTCAGCTGATGAAGGTTCACAACCTGATCAATCTACTTGCTTGCCTTGCTTAGTGCTCCTTGGCTGACATCAACATCACTCACATGGTGATTCCACCAAACACTAGCGATGCTACGAAAACATCTGTGATCAAAACCCTGTAGTCGCTTCATGTCTTCTACTTCTAACGGCCATGTCTCAGTCGTACAACAGGATAGAATGGATAGCAGTGCAGTATACTCATCCTTTGATAGACGATCGGCTATCTCACCAGTTGGCACAACAGGTGACGCAGGTTGGCAAATGACAAACAGACCATCTGTATCCCAGCATTAAGATTTCGTCAGCAACCAGCCCGATCAGACTGATGCAACTCCCCAAGTAAGTGAAGTAGTCAACACATTCCACTGCTTCATTCCCTATCGTCAGATTTGTAGTGGTTGCAGACCAGTCCTGGAGCATCATCTTACATTTGACAGATGCCAGCGAAACGCATGCTAAACATACTCAGATTTCTGCTCAATGCGTTCAAAAGACCCTGCAGTGTGTCAGCGTCTTCAACTAGCAGGACAATATCATTGGCATACTCCAAGCCAGCCGACTAACCCCCAGCGACAAAGTCAATCCCTGTGAAATCTGACGTACTCAAGTTTATATTGATCAGTGTGTCTATGACGAAGTGAAGTAGGAACGGTGACAATTGGTGTTCCTGTCGGACAGCAATAGTTGTCGTTAATTCTGATGACAAGTCTTCGTAAACCCTTACATGGTTGCGTGAGTTTGAGTTGCACTTTGATTATCGTATGCTTGCTTGCTCGGTACTCTTTTCAGTCAGACACCATCACAATGCCTCACGATCAACACGGTTGAATCCTGCCTTCAATTGGCAATTGTCGACTGTTAGGTATGTCTGTGCTCCAAAACATGTTGGAGGGTAGAACATGATCGATACACCCTCGTCTAGGTCTGGAACCGTACTGGTTCTCTCGAGTTTGCTGTTTTCGAGCTCCAGTTAGGCGTCGGATAACTATGGACCCTAGGATTTTGAAAATATCAGTCAAACTAATCCTCTCATGGTTGGCACAAGAGGATTTCTTTCTATTCTTATAGACTGGGATACACAGCGAAGTACACCAGCCTGATGGGACTAACTCTAATTTCCATACACTACAAAATACTTCCATCATTCTAATCAGCAATTTCCTACTCCATCCTTAAAATCCTCAGGCGGCAAACTATCAGGTCCTATGCTTTACATTGTTTACATTGGTTCAATACAGCTGTCTCAACTTCAAGGAGAGTTGGAGAACCGTCATCTAGGTCCCATTCAGGTTCAGGCTGGATGTCGGGCAACTGAGGCGTTGCTGGGAGTCAGTTGAGCTGTGCTTCGAAGAGTTCTGTCCAACGCTCTAGCAGCCTTTCCTGGGAAGTTATCAGCGTCGCATTTTTTTCGGTGATGGTTTCTCTAACCATCGTCTTCTTGGCTTGTATCCTTAATAAGACTAACTAGGTGCTGCATGTTACTCAACGCTGATGCCTTCTCTACATATCTCGCCTTCGCCACCCACAGATGCTCGCGATCATTTCAAAGACTCTTGGTCAACTTACGTTTGAGTTGCTTTCGCACTCCACTGTGGTTACAACCAACTGGAATCAGTCTCCTTGCATCAATCAGTTCGGATGATGCTGTAAAAAACCTAATGACGTTCGCTAACCTTCGGATGTAGGTAACCAACTGTCTTTACCGTTGTTTCTACAGCAGACTTAATATGACACTAGGTTTCTTCCGGATGAGCATTGCTGCCATGTTCAGCTAAACGCTCAGCTGACTCGTGCCTATATACGTATTTGGCTTTCTCACCTTTCAATCAAGCGTAGACAGGTTTTGCTATCAAGACCAATAAGGCGCAGACACACATTCTTGGTGAAACGGCTGAAAATTGGCCACAGTGGCGCAAATTTATTCACTCTTTGACGTCTTTTTAAGATTGATTATTCACACTAACCTTGGTCTTCAGATTGTTTATTCTCTTACGTGATTTTTTAAATCTTGAATTCAGTCTTTTTCGATTGTTTTTCTTGATATACTACTGTAAATTGTGGCAACGTTTATCGTGAAGCACGTGTTCGAGATTCTACGTTAATTTTGTTTATCTATCTGGTATGAGACTCTAAGAGATACGGTGCAAATTTGTCCCATTATTTCAGCTCAATCGTCAGGATGAATTAGTGTTATCTTATTCTTTTTTGAGCCATTCTGGTAACTTTCTACCACATTTAACTGATTATTTATTTACTCCTTGGTCTTTTATATCAGTGTATAATGTTGTTCAACTTTCTCATGTTATGGCTTCAATCACAAATTTTTAATTTTTTTAGAACTCTTTTAGTCATTAGCATTTTTCATACACGTTATGTCACTTCCAAATCAAACTCGTTTTTACCAATGCTCCTTTTCCTGTAGCTTATTGATTTCAGGTTTTGTAAATTAACATCACGGTGCTAAAGTTTGTTTTTGATCCCATGTACGATGAGTATTGGATAGGATTTCAAGAAAACACGACGATCGAGGACAACTTTTTGATTGGTTGACCATTTTGTAGCTTGCATAAACGCCTTAAGATAAAAACAGACAATGCAGGGGCAGTTCTATTTAGTGATTCTATTTGTAGAGTTTTAGTCGAGGCGAGGTGGTTAGGTTTTTACTACGACTGGTATCTCTTTTCAGCAGTACAGGAGGTTAGGCACAAAAAACCAGCCAAACTCAATAACCTATAGCTCGGTAGTACCCGACAATAGTGATAACCTTCATAGTTTTGCCGGACTTTTAGAGTTGGAAGCATACGGTTGAACATCTACACCATTCGGTACATCAAGATGCTCATTCACAATCCCCTAGCCAGTTATCTTACTCATGGTAGGACAATTATGACTCCTTTCACACCACCAAACTTTGTTCTTTTTCCTTCTCGCACTCATGGGTATCCGACGTCTGCAAAGAAATAGCGGTCGGCCTCTGCATCAGTCCAGACAGCACATGAAAACTAGTCAGGGTCTTGAATTCAAGACGGAAATTAATTCCCAAAACAGTAACCAAAATTCCATGGATTCTTACTTCAAGTCTTATAATGTTGAAATGACAGTCATCATGTGCATATTCAAGCAGTGGTTAACAAACCACATTTAACATCAGGATTTGTGATACCTGACTGTTCAGGTGGCAGTAAGTTGGGCGGGTTCCCAACAGACGAGTAAATGGTTAGAAGCAGGGTATCTGAACTAATAGACAATAACCACAAAGTCCTAAGTGCATTATACTATTACCAGTTGTTACAACAATGTATAATATATACATGATAAAATGACTCACGACTCCCATCAAGTTGGAACGATCTCAATATAAAGAACCACCGATAATGAATAAAGGTAACTGGATTAAGAATACTTTAGTCCATCCAAGAGTGAGTAGCATAGTAAAGCATGAAAAGTGATTTTAGAAGCACAACCATGGACATGGCGTTCATTCACTGTTTGTATACACATCATAAAATGGCAGAAAATAAACCGTTTTCAAAGAAAGGATAGCTGAAAATAGTGCTAAGATTAAAAAGGTTAGATGTAAGAGGAAAAACGACATGACTTAATACTGTCCAAGATTCAATTGCAATTATATTTTTTATACCATACAATCTCTATACGTCGTTTAATTTTGTTTGGTAGTCGTCTACCAATAAAACTACGATTTTTTACAGCAGTCATCTATTTTTTTTAGCCTCCGAAATTTAAATATGGTAAACCGTAAACTTGCAATTTACTTATCGTGATGCATACTCAAAAGTGCTCGTATGATAACAGTCAAGTGAAGTCAAAAATCTGAAAATAAGATCCGATTATTTACTTTTTTTGATACTTAATAAATCAATGCGTTCACTGCGTCCTCCCATATGATGATCAAGATGAGGGACTTAAAGTGCGAGGTATGAATATAAGACTGGAAATATTAAGTTGACGAATAGCACCCTTGTGAAGTGGGTTTCTAGTCAAACACCATACCCAGAACCATTAAGTAAAAAGAACGTGGAGATAAAATTAGCAAAGCTAGAAAATACCAACTAACCGTAAAAACAAAGTCCATTACTTAAATTAAGGTAGACGAAATCGCTTCAGTGATGAGACTCACCTAACATTGAATATAAAAACAACCGTTTGCAGTCGGATGAAATCAAAAGCGTATTAACAGTTAGCAACAAAGCAGCTAGAAATAAAGTTATTGGTTTTATCATAAAGATGTCAGGCACATGGTCATATCGTTAAGATATATGTTCAGTCCAGTGATGTAGTATACATAAATGCAGACTTTAGTCACACTTCCTCTCAAACTGTCATTTTATAAATTTGACTCTGTAGTGAAACAACGTAGAAAGTTGAAAGATAATTATGGCAGCTAACCTCTCTGAGATTCGCATACTACCTGTTCGATCATGCTGGAAGGGCGAAAGCTTTTCCTTTTATCACTGAAATGTTACTAATAGATGAGAAACAGCTGCTTACCTCGTGTGATATATAAGTAAAAGAAATCACAATACAGCAAAGTCTGTAACACACCAGCAACGATTGCAATCAGGTCATAATAACTCTGTACATAATACCGGTATACCCAGTTAAGTATGTACAAACCACGATAAGAACCAAGCGCAAATAGGTAGTGTGATGTGATCGTTTCTGCTTCACCTGTTTTGCTAATCAGGAAGAGTTGTGGTAATATGGCTACTGATTCTAAATATATGGAAAAAGTCCATAATAACTTTGAGCCAAAATATTATTTGGGGTAACATACCTCAATAAGCTGAAAACGGTGGTTGACAATTAGTGCTAGCACGGCGCATGGAACCAGCAGAAACTCAAGTCGAAATGTATCATGATTCCCATCATAAGTTGGCTTAAATTTGAAATATATCATGTATAGCGTGGCGTAAGACGAAACAATGAAAATAATTTTCGCAAAGGAATTGTACAAAGACACGTAAGTGGTGAGAAGGTCGACATAACGTGTGGTAAACACGATAGCGAACGCAATCTGGCTACGTCCAGATAAACCTACGAGTAAGCTCTTGAACTTTCTTATTTACCAGCACATGATCTAGTTTTCCAAATCTTTAGAAGTAAGATTATTATGGCAGCAAAATGTGACGCATCTCCGAGAAACCGGAATATATTCATCACAACACAACAGTAACTCAGGACCACCAAGTCAACGTCAAGCAATGCCAACACCTTTATTTTGACCGCTGACTTGAACAAACAAACGTAAAATTACAACAAAAACTGAGAACTGCCTTCATGCAGTGTATTTCCGGTATTAGACGTCTAAATAGAGAATTCCTCCGCATGAAACCCTCTCCTCTGAGTCGGAGAGACTAGATATGAAGAAAGAGAAAGAACATAAGAGAAAGAGTAGCTTACTGTCGTTATTCTGTAACCTACCCCAGTGACCTTCAGTGTACGTTTGGTTTGGCTTTGAAAGTGTACGATGATGTAGCCTGAAACATGTCCACGGGTGACGCACTAGGCTCGAACAACCTATAAGGAGTAAAAGGTAAGCTTCATGTCCAACCCACTATGTTCAATTTCTTAGTATAGGCAATCTGCTAAGCGGGTGATATGAAGAATTCACCTTTACTTCTAGGCGCTGCTTTCGAAAAAAGTGTAATCTTACCGTGACTTAGCAATTTAGCTTTTGTTGTGTATAACGCAACGATAGCTCCGAATTTTCAGTAAGAGTATTCTCTCGAGTTTCCAGTTCGAGAAGTTCATCCTTCTTTACGCGTACTTTTTTTCATACTAGGATAACGAGGCTTTACCTCTGTCCCAGTTTAGGTTTGATTTGGTAACGTTTAGTTTACTACTCTTTACAAGCCTCTCCAGAGTTTATATCTTCAATTTTTTATGTTTTAACATATACCCGTTTTATACTTTCAACGAAATTGGTGGCCAAACAGATGCTCAAGAGGCAGGTCTGTCGTTAACCTGTTCAGTTGGATATGCAATACGAGACGTGCGACGGATGGTCGCACAGCGCCTGCAGTGACCTGAGGCAAACTGAGTACACCAAACTCAGTAAGCCCGGCCGTAAGTGACGTTGTCGCCTGTGTAGATCTGCACTTGACGATGTTCTTCAGAACATCATCAGCATGTTATCGGAATTCAAAACAGACTGAAAGTAGATAATAAAAGGGGAAGCTGGAAAACTCAAAAGCAGTGCCTAAGCACGAGGGTTATGGGGATAGAAAATCGTTCGGCGGAAAAAGTGCTCAAGTCACTCGACAAGAGCAAGGGTTTGGTTTGACGGAGGATATGATGCACCTCAGTAGTGCAGTAACATCAACTGTCCTACAGTCCTTCACTCGGATTTTGTCGTCAACAAATGAGGCGCACAATGAAACAGTCGTACCAAACAAGGGTGCTCAAGATGCAGAATGGGTAACCATTGTACGAAATAATGACAAGCGAGTTTCAACTCCAATCAAACCCATCGGGTCTGGGAAGGTAAGAAACCCTGGGAACAAGCCCAAGTTGGGTAACCTGGAAATCAGGAAGGCTAAACATGGGAATGGACATCATACCATGCGAGTCACTAACCAGCTTGTCAGAAAAGCAAACGTGTTGCCCACGAACGGGGCAAAGCTAGAGAAAAGATGAAAGCTCAACAAAAAACGACCGAGCGTCAACAGTTAACAAGACATACCAGTGGCCGGAATGATTCCTTGATCATCATGAACCTGGCAGGCAGTCCTGAACTTCCATATAGTCTTCAGGACAAGAATGGTAGGGTTCTTTCGGAGAACGTATTCAGAAAACTCAAGCTGGACCATGTGAAACCAGTAGCTGCAACTAGGCTCTCTCCGGTTCCCGACCCAATAACCAAGGGCAAACCCTGTCTTTTGAGGCTCACATTCTCCAGCCCAGAGGATGTCGAGGATGTGCTCTTGGCATCTCACGTGCTAAAAGCTGAAGCGGAAGTTAGGATACTGCTGGACCTCCCACATTCTGAGAAAAAAGCCCTAAAGAATCTGTCGGACGACAATCGTGACGCCTACTTCAGAGGAAGAAACCTAATAGTGCAAGGCATACCAGAGAACCCAGGCACTGAGGATATTCACCACGATTCTCGCGAGTGGAAGTTCCTCAAGAATACTATGAACCTGAAGGAAGCAATCACACAAAGCGTCTCACGCATGCCCAAAAAAGACGATGACTCCAGACCAAGGCTGATCAAAGTGGTCTTTCCAACCTCTCAAAGACGGCATCCACACTGGAGGCTTTCTGGGAAGACAAAGATCGCCTGCCATCTGCAGTCTGCATGCCGCCTGATGGGTAGCATCACGAAAATCTGCAACGAGGACAGAAAAACTGGAACTGGTTGTATCTGTGAAAGAATGTCTAGGTGCAAAAACGGGGAAGGTGCAGGGAACACCACACTAGTAGTCAGCAATTAGACACCTTCCGGGCCCCCATGCCCGAGGATCCAGCCAGTCAACTGGAAAATGGAGAGGGTACAGGCAGTGTATTCCAAGTCCAGAGCATAAACTGCACGCACGCTAATGTGCAAAGTTTACTGAACAAAATTGACGAGCTGCGGGACCTAAGTGGGGACATTTTTGCTCACCTTATTGGTGTTACTGAGACATGGGCTTCTCCTGTCATGCCAAACCAGGAACCGGCAATCGCTAATACCATGCTATTTCGCGGTGATAGGAAGGCTGGTAGGGGGTGGGGTAGCACTTTACATCAGCTCCTCTCTCAGCCCACCAAATCAATATCCAAGAACTGGAATGCCTTGAAGAGTCCGTTTGGTGCACCATAAAGCTGTCCAAGACTACAAAGTGCCTGGTGGGAGTCGTTTACAGAAAACCGTCTGCTGATTCACAATATGACAACCAGATGCTGGAGGCATCAGTTGCCCCCTTAAACTGCGGCACACACACACATACTGATTTTAGGAGATTTTAACCTACCGAAGGTCAACTTTGCAGATCGCACGTTCAGCGGGAGCGACGATTCCGTTGAAGCCAGATTCTTTCACTTGGTTGAGGGGCTGGGGCCTACGGAAAATGTGAGAACGGTAACGTGAGTTGGGGAGGCTCAAACCCCATCTTGCTCAGACTGCGTCTTCACGGATGAAGATTTCCTGGTAGACAACCTAGCAGTCCTACCTCCTTTGAGCTGTGGTGACCACGTTGTCATCGACTTCCAATTTGTTTGCCAAACCAACCTAACCAGACCTTTCAATGAACATCGTTAGATCTTCGGACGACTTAACACCCCGGCTTTTCTAACCGCACTGGAACAGACAGATTGGGGAGTTAGCCATGCGTGACAAGGTATGAACAGCCATTGGAAATTCATACTTGACAAGGTCATGCATGCGGTCAGTCAGTCCGTTCCACCTTCGAGGCCGGAGTGCCTCAAGTTACCCAAGGTAATAAGGAACCACACTCGCAAACTACTTAAGCTAAAGAGACACCACTGGACTGAACGGAAAAGGATTGGCACCGAGTGTACCTACAGACAATTCACACAGACAGGAAACATGTGCACGAAGGCTTTGAGAGCCGATTGGCAGCGGCATCAAGTCAGGCCCACAAACACCTAGTCAGGGGCTTACAAATATCCCACTAAAAAAGTAGGACTCTCAGTAGTTGACCTAAGCGGCGATACGATACAGCTCAAACTGCTACTGCTCACCAAGGACACCTCTCCGGGATCGGATAAAATCCATCCGGTGGTACTGAGAGAGGGGGCCTCAATCTTTTCCGAGCCCTTAAGTAAGTTATTTAAAAGTTCTCCGGGTAAGGGGATAGTACCTGACTCTCGGAAGCTGGGCCACATAACGCCAATCCTCAAAGGAGATCAAAGAAGCAATCCAAAGGAGTACAGACCGCCGACACTTCTGTCCATTCCTTCCAAAGTAATGGAATCGCTGATATACGATGGACCGAGGGGTTACCTCACAAAGATAAATTTCTTTGCATCCCAAAAACATCGATTTTGAGAGGAGTACTCCTGCATTACCAAGTTACCCACTGCAGTAGATAGATGGACTAACATTGTTGACCATCGAGGACTAATTGACGTTATCTACCAAGACTTTGCTAAGGCGTTTGATCGTGTTAATCGCGACTGTCCTATCGACAAACTAAAATTAATTGGGATTCGACCTCCGCTCATTGACCGGTTGTCGTCATATCTACGGGGCCGTTCATTTAAAGTTCGGGTGAGTTTCTCCGTGTCTAAAGGAACAGAATGTCCTAGTGGTGTTCCCCAAGGTTCAGTACTAGGGCCTGTCCTTTTTCTAATATACGTAAACGACTTGCCTCAACAGGTCTCTTCCGAAATCCTTCTTTTTGCGGATGACGTGAAACTCTGGAGGGAAATCAAAAGTGAAGAAGACAGTGTCTCTCTACAGGGAGACTTGACTAGACTTCACAGCTGGGCAGTCAACAATGGGTTTGCATTTAATCCTCAGAAATGCAGGGTAATACACGTAAAACATGATGCATCTCGTGTACGTCGCCTCATCTGCATGGAACCAGAAGCGTCACTGGCGGAAAAGGTTTTGGGCGTGTTGGTCACCCAGGACTTAAAATCCTATGCCAACGGCGACAGAAATGCACTTTGTGGGAACTTGGCGTCAGTAACTCTTAAACGAATTTTCGGGCAATTCGATCGTAGATGCTCCCACCAAATTTTCAACAGCTTCATACGGCCTCACCTGGAGTTCGGGACCATCGTCTTCCCCCTCATCTCCAGAAGGACAAATAAAGCTTAGAACGCATCCAGAGGCGTTCGACAAAATCTATTCAAGGACTCAGGTCCAAAACATGTGACGAACTGCTGGTTGCTCTGGATCTGTATCCTCTGGAACACAGAAGGCTAAGGGGAGACTTAATAATGACTTACAACATTCTGAGCACGCCTGACCATGCATTCCGTCACTTATTGAATCTTAGCTGCAACGCTAATCTTGGAGGACATGCACAGATACGTAGCCTGGAACATAGCAGGCCGGATGTTAGGCACAATTTCTATTCCCTAAGAGTTGTTAAACCCTGTAGCGCTCTTCCTGAAAACGTGATCCAGGCTACTTCGTCTGAATCTTAAAACGCAGACTGGATACTCACTGGATGTATGTCTGAGATCTGCCCAGGACTAAGTGAATTTTCACATTTTAACCGCTATTTTTTCACCTTTCTTTACTTATAAAACAGGTTAACAACCAAAAGGAGTGGTGTTCCACGGATTG